TTCTTACTTTCTCCAATCAAATTGAGTCCGGAAAAAAATAGAACTCTAACAATCTCCACCTTGGTATGAATTTTGAAAGTAAAAGAAGTTCGAGACAAAATCCAAAATTTGATGGAACGCTTAAACTCAACAAAAATAATTGTTTGCATCAACAAATAAGTCTTTCCCCAATTTGGATCTAGTATTCAAATTGGTGAGGATATCATAACTGCTAACTTTGCTCACAACTATATCACCACGAGAAATCATGCAAAACACGATCTTAATCATAAATGAAAATTTTAACTTTTTCATTATTTATCCATATGATGAATTAGAGTTTCTTTTTTTTCTCAAATTTTTTATGCTCACAAAATTAAATTTTGATATGCTTTCCAAAATCGTTGCATTCATAGTTGTCTTTTTGTAACACAAGATCATCATTTATTTAATTCATTTATGATGTGTTTATCAATAATGTCATTATCTGACACAAAGGAGAAAAATAAAAATTTCATCTTTGAAAATTGTTTAACCTTATAAAACATAAAACTCGATAGTCTTTCTTTACCCTTTTATCGTAATAATAAAGTCCTTTCAAATTTTCATACCTTCACCTGACACAGCGTGAGTATGTTGTTACGATCTAGTAGTGAAATTATGTACTTGAATGTCATTATCATGATTGAGACAAACAATACAAACACTCTGATACTAAATTGGTAAATGATAATGGCAAGCATAATGATCTCACAATAAAATGAACACAAATATTTTATATAGAAAAACTTTTGAGATAAATCATGAGTAAAAAAAGAAAACTTTCACTAATATCAAAATAGAAGAATACGGAAGGAATCATCATAAACAACTTGACATTTAGTTGTAATTCAATAGCTATTTATAAAGATAGTTACTTGATTACCAAGAAAACTTACATAACAAGAAATCTACTCAAACTATATTTTCTACTCTCAATTAATATAAAATAGAATAGACTCCATACCTTCAACTAAATTGAGTTTCCTACTTTACCCAGTCAGTTTGAGTGAAATCAAATTCGGGTCGAACTCTAACAATATTCACCTTTACTCAAATTCTAAAAGTGTAAGGAGTTTGATATAATATCTCAAATTCAATAAAACACTCAAACTCAGCAAAAAATAATTCTTCACATCGACAGACATGACTTTTTTAGCTTAGATTTAGTCTTCACATTGGTGAGAAGATCATAAGTGATGACTTTGCTCACAACTGTATCATCATGAGCAATCATGCACAAAATGATCTCAATCATTAGTGGAAATTTTTTTTCGTTGTTAATCTATGTGATGAAATAGACATCATCTTTCTTCTCAAATTGGTTATTCTCACAAAAATTAAATTTTGTTCTACTTCCGAAAATCGTTATACCTATGATTGTCTTTTTCAACACAAAATTCTCCTTTGTTTGATTCAGTCACGACGTGTTTACCAATATTTTCATCATCTGACACAGAGGAGAAAATAACAACTTCGTCTCCAAAAATTGTTGAACCAAGTAGAATATAAAACTCGTTAGTTTTTCTCAGCCTTTTCATCAGCATGAGAGGGTTCTTGCAAATTTTCATACCTCCACTTGTCACAATATGAATCTGGTGTTGCAATCGAATACTAGAATTTCATACTTCAAGAATTTCATTATTTTGATTGAGATAAGCAACTCGAAGGCTCTGATATCAATATGTTAAATGATAATTATAAGTATAATAATTGCATAATAAAATAGACACTGAGATTTTACGAAAAAATTCTTTCTATAAAAAACATAGGAAGAACTTGACATCTAACTCTAATCTTTAATACTTATTTATATGGATAGCTGTTTGATTATAAAAGGAAAATTCTATGGTAAGAAATTCACTCAAACTATGTTTCATATTCTCAATTAACATAAATATGATACACTAGCTAATTTCAAGAAACTAGGTTTCATATTTTCTGCAATTAATTTGAATCAAATCAAATTCAGATTAAACTCTAATAGAAAGCAGTTTTTACAAGATTTTGTTGATCTCCACAAAGGCATTTTCAAGGGCTCCACGAATATATATTACATAAGACCAACCGATAGGTGAACTTATGGCGGACCGTTGTTATTGATGTTTTATTGACCAGAATAATAAATGCAGTTGATGGATCCATGTTTGTTTCATGGCTATGTCTATCTCTATATATTTGGTTGAAATTTGAAAATGAAGGCAGATAAATATCTGGCATCAAAAAGAGGGCAGTGCCCTACAGCTGAAACCATGGCCTCAAGTGCTCCATTGGTTTTGTTTCTATCCTTTTGATCAATTGGTACATTCAATTAATTTTAGAATATGAATTAGGAGGACATAATATGTTTTAGAATATGAATTAAAATCAAATCATCTTACTAATAGAGGGTTGATTCAAGTGGTAAGCAGCTTGGATATTGTTTAAGTAAGGTCTTGAGTTCGAGTCCTTGAGTATGCAGAAAATTCATGTTGGAAGATTCACCCACCAAAACCAGGTGTGTAACATGGGCATGTCCAGATTAAATCATTAACTGTATCACCAAACAAAAAGTTGGTACCTGGGATTTTTTTTTTCTTTGACCTTAATTGTGAATATCAATTTGAGTAACACTATGAAGTAGTAAAAGCTCAATTTATTATCAATAAATTAATATAAATATATAAAAGATCAAATAATTCATGATCTCATGCAAAAGGACTGGTTAAATTAAATCTAAAGCTCCCTTAAAAAAGCTCGACCATTTACTAATATTCTGTTTTTATTAGAGTCGAAGACTAAAAAAAGATAAAAAAGAAAGTGTTGATTGTTGAGGGGATTCAAACCACAAAAATGAACATATTCACTAACGTTAAATGAATATGTTGATGAACGCTAAACGAACATGCTGACAAACATATAAATTATGAATGCATTGACAAACGTTAAACGAACATGTTCGCAAATGTTAAGCAAACATGTTTGCGAATGCTAAACAAATCAAACACGAACACCTTCAAAAATAGACAAATGAATACGATATTAAGATTTTAAACCAACATGAACCAAAAACCTTCAAAAATAAATAAACGAACACGAATATAACATGAATACTTTCAAAAATAAACAAGCTTGATTCTTTTACACCTCTACATACATACATACATACATATATTCACATTTAAACATCCTACAAGTTTTTAAAACTTGATATTAGCTCTATTGGATTTAAAATTTTGGTATATCTTTATAAAAAAAAACAGAATGCAAGCAACTAGGAGTGAGCATTCGATCGAGTTGAGTCAAAAAATTTCGAGCTATTCAAGTTGACAAGTCGTATTTTACAACTCGAACTTAGCTTAAAATTTTTTCGAGTCAAGTTGAATTTAAGAAATTCAAGTCGAGATATTCAAGTTTCTATACTAATTTTATTATTATTATTATTATTATTATTATTATTATTATTATTATTATTATTATTATTATTATTATTATTATTATTATTATTATTATTATTATATATCAAATACTATCTAAAATTATGAAATATATTCATAATATTATATTTTAAAGAAATTATTTTGAGGGTAAAATATTGATGAGAGTATAAATAAGTCAAGGAATTAATGAAAAGAAAGAATATGCAAACAATTGTAGTCAAAAGATCAAATTGAGTAAAATGCAAAGTTAAGGGACTAAATAAAAAAGAGTGCATCTTTAGGGGGAAAACAATTGAAGTTACATATGTATTTTATTGTGGTATATGGGCATGTGGTTTAAATTTGGTAAAAAAAACGAACTTAAAATAAATGACAAATTGAATGAATAAGGAGATTATGAAAAAATGAATGACTAAATTGAAAAATGAAAAAAGTTTTTATCAAAAAGAGGAATTGAAAGTACACATGTATTCCACTATGTTTTTTACTCAAGTTTGGTAAAAAAAATTGAACTTGAAATAAACGACGAATTGAGGAAATAAGGAGATTATGAAAAATTGAAGGACTAAATTAAAAAATAAAAATTTGTTACCAAAAAGAGGAATTGAAAGTAAACATGTATTATACTATGATTTAGGAGCATGTTGTTCAAATTTGGTAAATAATTGACTTAAAATGAAGGAAGAATTGAAGAAATAATGAAATCAGGGACTAAATCATAAAATAATCAAAATACTTAGTCAAATTTTTGTTTTTGCAAGTAACTCGAAAATTCTAAATTTCAACTCAACTCGAAAACTAAATTTATAATTCGAATTAACTCGAATAACTCAAAATTAAAAGAAAATCAATTTTTCGAGTATTCGACCCCTATAAACAACCGGGTCCATTCGCCAATCAAATTCAACGATCACTTAAATATTTTTAATGTTAAAATAAATACTGTAAATTTCTCTTTTCTCACAAATTACGTATTATATCTAATGATACTCTTGATCCTTGAACTAAATATTATAATTTTAAAAGTTTAAAGGTTAACTTAATTAATATAAGTTAAGGGTTGTTTATTTAATGTAAATATATATTTTTGAACCGTTGAATTAATTAAATTTAATAGATGCGATTAAAGTTTTTAAATTAAATTAACAAACAATAAGTTGGTCTAGTAGGATGAGACACTTGATCCCTTAAGTAAGGTTAAAGATTTAAATCATGACAATTGCAAATGAAACAAATTGAGTTTGGAAGGTCGCTTTATCTCTGTAATACTCAATTTTGATTAGTCGATCAATAGATCGAATATCAATGATTAATTTAACAAAAAAATTAAATTAAGGATAGCACATTATTTTGGACATAAATCTTTTTATTTTATACTATTAATTTTAGTATTGTATTTTAGATCATTGAACTATCTAATTCTTATTATTTTTGGGTTTTGGGCCTCTTGAGCTTTGGTTCATCGTCATTAAGAAACTTACAGATAAACCAATGGCCCGTACAAACCGCATATGGCGCCAAGCATTTCCCGCCGATATATCTTCCTCAAATCAATCATATAAAAACCCTTGATCCACAAAGAAAACGTGGAGGACCCAAATTGAGTTTTTTTCTTTCCCTCACAGAAAAATGGTGAAAACGAAGCAGTATTGGCTGCTGAAAACGGAACCAGGAGAGTGGTCATGGGAAGACCAAGCAGCAAACGGAGGCGTAACCAAATGGGACGGCGTAAAGAACAAGCAAGCCCAGAAACACCTCAAGTCCATGAAGCTGGGCGATCTCTGTTTCTTCTACCACTCCGGCGCCACCGCTCGCCGTGTGGTGGGGGTGGTCACCGTCGTAAAGGAATGGTACGCTGAGGGCAGTGATGTAAACAGTGAGGCCGTCGTGGATGTGAAAGCGGTCGGGGAGATGAGGAGGCAAGTGGACTTAAAGGACATGAAACAGGATGGGGAACTGAAAGGGTTTGTCATGTTTAGGCAGCCGAGGTTGTCGGTCTTGTCGGTGCCGGAGAAGGTGTGGGAGAGGGTTTGTGAATTGGGGAATGGGTTCGAAGGGGATGGCTTTGAGATTGGGGAGGAGGATGCTGAGGTTTAAAACAAGGATGGGTTTTTTGATTAAAAAGAAACGCCATTGTTGCTAGTACAGAAGTCCCATCTCTTGGTTTTTGTGATTTGTATCTTGTTAAAGTTGAAAAGAAATGTGCTTAATCAGTGTTTAGCTACCATGTTTTACTCGTTGGCGGTGGAATTATTGATGTTTTCTATATGATTTTCTATATGCTATTCTTTGAATTCTCATGTGATGATTCTGATATGCTGGTCTACTAACTAACTTGATTGTGGCATTTTGGTGAACACTTACCGTGCATCATCGCCGGAAGGTTTGAACCTGATTTTGGTGTATCTCTATCCCCAGCTTCAAAACCAAAGATCCAACCCTCCTTTTTTTTCCACTATAACCGCATTATCCGTAACGTGCTTTCTCAGTATAAAGGTGCCCTAGATGGGTGAGATGAGCTTGGCCACAAAAAGCCATAATCTTTGAACCATAACCTTCAAGTTTACCTTATATAACTAGGCTTATTTGCTCCACTGTATCTGACTTATATTATTTGTATCGAGTTACTCTTAAAGTATTTTTCGAAACTTTTTGTTTCTAAAATTTAAATCGTTATTCCGTTTGTCCTGTCGTTAACTATGTTAAAAATAGCAAGGATAAATTATATATTTAATTACTCAACTATTTTCATGATTATGCTTCTATCACTCAATTATTTTTTTTCTTTCAAAATAATCACTAAGCTTAAATTTTTGTTCTATTTTAGTCACTAATACGATTCAATTTATCTTTTAAATTTGTAACATATAATAATTCATTTGTATCACATATTTTTTATTCGACATATACATTTAATTTATAATGATAAATAAGATTATAACGTAAATAATAAACAACATATTGAGTTGTTTGTACTTGAAATTTTAAATGTTAAATTAAAATATCATAAATATTTTAAGAATTAAAAATATGAACGGATCATTATTCATTTGTAAATTTATATATTTAATAAAATTTAAATTTCATATTTCGAATCGGACTAATTTTAAATAAGTATAAAGTATATTCTTGACGTTTTTTAATTGGTTTCCACTTCGTATATGTTTCAAAAATAAGGTCGAACATGCGAGAAAATTACCTCCCAAGTCTCATGCTAAGGACATCCCATACGCCATCGTCTAATATAACATCTCTGCAAGAAAATTTACCATCTTCCTTATTATTCAGACCAGAGTTTAATTTAATCCAATCCATACTTGAAAAGTTCCAGCGGTTCAAACATGGCCCCGTGTTAATGCCGCTGCTTCTACTTGAAACTAAGGGTGAGCGTTCGATCGAGTCAAGTTGAGTAAAAAAATTTCGAGTTATTCGAGTTGAGAGTCCTATTTCATAACTCGGAGTTGACTTGAAATTATTTCGAGTCGAGTCAAGTTTATACAATTCAAGTCGAGTTAAATTTTCGAGTTTATATTTAAATTTAATTATAAATATTTGCAATAGTATGACATTATTTGATTTCAATTTGAATTATATTTTATAACCATATACAATACATATATATTTTTTCGTATTTTCTTCATATGTGATTTACATGTACCATATAAAATAGAGGGACTCGATTCAAACTTGAAAATTAATCTACTAATTACTAAAAATTTCGAGTTATTTGAGTTGTGTCGTAACCGGTTTTCGCCCGGGCACGAAATATTTACTCGGCGGGAAAAGTGATGTGAATAAATGGTTTTTTAAAATAATTTGGGAATCGCCATCGGCCTTTTGGGTTAGGTAGGTCGAATACCTAAAAATTATCTTTTAAAAGAGTTTTAAGAAAACATCAGTTAAAAGATGAACTGATCTGCGTTTTAACCAAAAATTCGTTCTTTTTAATAATAAAAAGGGATTCGTGGTCGGTTACGTTTAGGGAAGGATTAGCACCCCTACAACACCCAGAATTGGTACTTTTTAATTATAAATTGTCTCTATTATTAGAAATTTAAAAATTCAAAATATATTTAATTTATAATCCTATTATTTTAAAATTATAATTATGAGAAAAAAATAATTTATATAAAATATTTATCTAGTTAAAAATATCAGAAAATGACTTCTAGGTGCCTTAAGACAGTTCTTTTCTTCGATATTAATAAATATTAATAAAATAATTTAAATAAAATTAAATTATAAATTTTTTATAATGTTTAATTTTAAAATACCAGAATAGGACATCCAGCTGTATTAAGATTGCCATTTTCTTCGATATTGAAAAATAAATAAATAAATATTAAAATAATTTAAAAAATAAATATAAATTATTATTTATTATATATATTTATATGATTATATAAAATAATCTTTAAATATATAAACAAGTAAAATTAAAACAATGAAAATACAATTAGAACTATATATTTAAAAACAGTAAAATAAATGAAAATATTTAAAATTTGTGACTAAATTATAGTAAAATTAAAATTAAATACCTAATTCATAATTAGTCAAAATTATAGGGATTAAACATGCTATTTTCTTATTTATTAAATTAGTGACTAAAATAAAATTATATAAAATTCGGATATTAGATTAAAACAAATTAAAACATGCTATTCAGATTAAAATATTAATTATTAAAATTAACGGACTAAATCTGTTATTTACCCTAAATATATTATTTTAATACAAAGGACTAAAATAGATAAAATTAAATTTAAAGAACCGAATTAAAAGGATTATAAATTGATTTAGTGACTAAAATGTAAAGTTTACAAATTAGGATGACTACGGAAAGGATTTAACTTTTATTTAATTACACAAATAGCCCTCCCCGAAACGGCGTCGTTCGGGAAGGAATATTTAAAGCTGAAATCGGCTGGCCCGAAGGGCCAGCATTCATTTTTTTTTTCATTTTCTCTCTCTAACTGAGAGAGAAATGAAATGCTCTCCCCTCTCTCTAGCTTCCCTCATCGGAGGGAAGCCGGTCACCAGGCGGCAGCCGTCTGCCGCTGTAGTTCTCACCGCCGGCCACCGCATCCGGTGGCCGGAAAAATCTATTTTTACACCACCATGTAGATCGGACCGTCCTAATGACGGTTCCGGTGATCTTTTCTTCTAAATAGCTCCCGATTGGAGCAAATCTAAGAAAGTACCTTCGATTTCGAAGGTTTTGGTGAGGTCCGGCGGTTGTGGCTTCCTCGGTAAGCTTCTCTCCTTTCTTTTTTTTTGTTGTTTTTTTTTCTCTGTTGGCTGCCTCTCCGTTTTTGTATATTTGCTCTCGGTTTTGTCTCTGTGGTCTGTTGGGGTTTTTTTTTTCCAGATGGGGTGATGGCTTTATAGCCATCACCGGTGTGGCCATCGGACCGGGTAAAAGAGGGGAGTCTGGTGAGTCACCGGACTCCCAGTGGTGACTCACCCTAGGGCCATAACGTGGACGGCTGGCGTTGGAACTTCTGGAGCCTTCGGTTGGGGCGTGGCAGCGGCTGGAGCGACGTGGAGCGGCGGCAGCTGGCGTAGTCCCTAGGGTATCATAACCATAGGGTTTCATCTGGCGCATCTGTGGACCGTTGGATCATGCCAGATCCAACGGTGGATGGATGATGGCGGCTGGGGCTTAGATACAAACCCTAAACAAGTTTAGGGTTATATTTGGGTTAACTGGTTGGGCCGGATTTGGCCCGTTTGTAATAATAAAATAATAATAATAATAATAATAATAATAATAAATAATAATAGTAAATGGAGAAAAAAATAGTATCTTCAGCTGCCCCTCTTTGCTCATTCTTGTGTTAACAAGAATAGAGTAAAGATGAAAAGATAATAATATTTTTTATCCATTTGAATTCACTTGATTAATATGGAGATGTTGAATAAATTCTTCTCTTTCTTCAGATGAGTTCTTCTCATTATGAACTTTTCGCTGGGGAGGATGTTGACCTATTTCCTTCTGTGATAGAGTCCTTTAAAAGGTTGAATAAGCTCTTCTCATTATGAACTTCTTCTTTCTTCTTCAGATGAGTTTTTCTCATTATGAACTTTCTCTGAAAAGGTTGATGCTAATCTATCTCTTTCTGTGATAGAATTATGCAAAAGGGTTGAACAAGCTCTTCTCATTGTGAACTTCTTCTTCTTCAGATGAGTTCTTCTAATTATGAACTTTCTCTGGAAAAGTTGATCCATCAAGTGATGGATTTAGCAAAAGGTTGAACAAATTCTTCTCATTATGAATTTCTTCTTTCTTCTTCAGATGACAAGTTCTTCTCATTATGAACTTTATCTGGCAATGTTGATCCATCAAATGATGAATTTAGCAAAAGGTTGAACAAATTCTTCTCATTATAAATTTCTTCTTCTTCAGATGACGAGTTCTTCTCATTATGAACTCTACCTGTCAATACTGATCCATCAATTGATGGATTTGAGCAAAAGGTTGAACAAATTCTTCTCATTATGAACTTCTTATTCCTTCTTCAGATGAGTTCTTCTTATTATGAACTCGAACTGGTAATGTTGATCCATCAATTGATGGATTTGAATCTTTGCTAAAAATCTTTGAAATTCCTGTCAAAATTCAACATGGATGAGAATGAATGAAAATGCACCTATTTTTTCAAATGCCCTAATATGATGCATGAATGTTAAGTTATTTGATTTCAAATTGGTGAACTGAGTATTTCTTCAGTTGTAGAAACCCAATAAATCTTTCTTCTTCAAATCAGAGAATCTATCATCTTTGACAAATGTATGTAGATATAATGTCACAAAATCTCTTGAGAATAAAACTCAATAGTATAAGCTCGTGAAAAGCTTGCATTCATGCAACATGTTGATTCTGATAACAACTCATCTGATTATGAAATGATCTTTCAAGATGATTTCGCAGATATCGATAGTTCTTTTAAAACCGAGAAAATCTTGAATTCTGATTCTGATGAGGAGAGTAAACTGTTATACTTGATGAAAATGAGATACTCAAATGCTATGTTTTCAATAGTCATAGAGATGTGGTTCAGATTCATCAATTGTAAAATTGACAAATTTTATATGTGATGCTCAAATGG